CACACACACACACACACACACACACACAATAAATAAATAAACTTTAAAAAAAAAAAAGAAATATGACAGTGAATTCCTAACCTGGTACAAGATCTTCTGTATCCTTAAGTACTTTAAAACATTTTATTGGCTATTATCTTAATAGGCTTTCCTTAAATTAGCACAGGAGCCTAAAAGTTGGATATAATTTATCTTTGTTCTAGTATTTCTTTTCACATATGTAGGCATTATATTTTTAAGTAGAAAATTGAGTTTTCATAGTTTCTGAGACTTCTGTTTTTTTTTTTAATTTTCTTAGGAATACAAGGACTTGGAAAATATGGAAGGCTTTTTAGTAACACCATAAATCCAAGCAAATAAATGATTCTATAAAATTTTCATTTATCCAGTTTTGTTAATTCACAACTGTATCACACAGCTTGAAATCCAACTGCCTTTTTGTTTGTTTAAAAAAAAAGAAACACCTCTGAAAGCCCTGTCATCTCCCTGTGTTGGGCCAGTTTGTCCTCAAGTTGAGTAAAATCTCCACGTCTCCTTGAGCCAGTTTATAAATGCCAACTTCATTCAGTGCTGCCGTGGCAGAAGGTTGACCTGAAGCCGACTGTAGCACGTCCTTCAGAAGCAACGCGGAGCCCACGTTTAAGTTCAGAACGAGGCAAGCTTCTTTCACACTGCGGGGAGAAGATGGGGAGAGGGAGTGGAAAGGAGAATCTGCTGTCCATCAAGTCTGCATTTCACCTGGAGAAACTGAACCGCTTTCCTGCACTGCTGGCTGCACATCCTCTACAAAAGCTGTTCATGGGCCGAGCATCTGGCTTCTGACAGGGCGATGACAGACACGGGTCACCGTTCCCCAGGTCATGCCATCATGACAGCAGCACTGCGCTCCACGGGAACCCGCGAGTTCTCTAACTACAATGCTTGATGCTGACTTTAGGTAGGACATGGGAAAGGGAAGAAGAAGAAAATGGAAGCAGCAGGAAGGCACACTGCTAAGATAAACTGAAAAAGCCATGTCTTTATGAAATCCGTCAACTTAATTAAGCCTTCATTTAAAAAACTTTTAAAAATGTTTCATAATATCACAAATTATATAATATAAATTTTAAATCAAATTCTGAAAATATTTCTAAGTTGTTCTCATATACACTTAAAATGATACCTAGAGGGCTGGTGAGATGGCTCAGTGGTCTAAAGCACCTACTTAGAACAAGCTTAGCAGAGCACAGGGACCGCGGTTCAATCCCCCAGCACCACATGCCAGCCAGCGCGCCCCCTGGTGGGCTGAGCTGGCCACACACACACACACACACACGCATAAATAAATAAAATTAATAAAAAAATACTTATAAAATGATACCTAGAACCAAAGCTAGTATCAAATGTATAAGAAAACAAGCTTTCTTCAGGTTTGGTCAATTGTTAGGTACTGAATGTACCTGTAATGTCTTATATTTATTGGATGTGGAGACTCTATGTGCTTTTATTTTCTTTCTCTGGTAGTAAGCAATAGCATAAAACCAAATGCTAGAAAACAAAGCCCATGTATGATTTACACCCAGCTCTGTCAACTTTGAGGTGATGTCACACCTTACATTATTTGCTTTCCCTATTGTTCTCTATGCAGTAGGTAACACAGTGACCACTTTAAGATTTTATTTAATCAGCCGGGGATGTAGCTCAGTGGCACAGTGCCTGCCTGGCAAGTGCAACATCCTGAGTTTGACTTCCAGTACAAATACATAAATAAATAAAAATAAAAATTTTATTTAATCTTATTCCCCACAAACATCCATGGACTGCTGAGGCTGTTCAAGGACCAAACCTCCTCTTACACTTTGACACGTGGATATTAATTGTTAAGTATTAAACTTACTGTTTAAAATAATTTTCTGGCCTCTTGCAATAGTGAGAAAACAGGGGGAAAAGATTCCGAGTCATATCAAACTGCAGCTGGGCTGCTCCACCTTCATTGAAGTGATTTGCAAGAATGACCTGAAACCGAGAGCAGTGTCTGTGACAGTGGCTGTCCTCTCCCGCCCCCGAGCCGCCCCGTCTCACTCACCTCCTGATATATGTACACATCCAGCTTCTCCACCAGCATCTGCCAGAACATTTTAAACAAGGAGAAGCACAGCTGCTGCTCCAGCTGCAGCAAACGGTCCCGTAACGTAAGCAGAAAGGGGCAAGCTGAGCTGGAAAGCGACATCACCGCCTGTTCCGACTGGGATGGCAAGGACAGCCACCTGCAAGCAAACGTTCATCGCCACCAGAAAAGTGTTCATCACCTTCTATCTTTAGTAAAAGGCAAAAGCTTTATACAATCTGAAGAGAAACTAGAGTATAACATTTTTTTGTGTGTAACCAGGGATTGAACTCAGGCCCTGGCGCTTGCCAGGCAAACGCTTATTCTACTGAGCCATCTCCCCGGCCCTTATCTTTAGACTTTTAACAAATCACTTCTGTCATATGCCTATAGTCCCCCAGCACTCTGAAGGCTGAGGGAGGAGGATCACTGTGAGTTCAAAGCCACCCAGGGCTACATAGTGGGACTCTGTCTCTAAAAAATGTTTTAAAATTCATTTTAAACGTAGGCAGAGGGCTGGTGAGATGGCTCAGTGGTCTAAAACACCTACTTAGAACAAGCTAATCTAAGCAAAGCACAAGGACCGCGGTTCAATTCCCCAGCACCACATGCCAGCCAGCCCCACCCCCTGGTGGGCTGAGCTGGCCACGCACACACAAAATAAATAAATGAATAAACAAAATTAAAAAAATAATAAAATAAAATAAATGTAGGCAGAAGAAGAGGATTGCAAATTGATCCAGCTGGGGAAACTTAGCGAGACCCTGTCCAAAAAATAGAGCTGATGGATAGCGCAATAGCATCTCACTTGTCTAGCATGTACAAGGTCCTAGGTTCAATCCCCATAGGGAAAACAAAAATCCCCATGTTTTAATACATGCCTTTCTCATATAAAATTAAAATGTTTAAGACATCAGCTAATTTCATACTTTAATTTTCACAAAAACAAGGGCTAATAATACTTCCATGCTGAGTATAACATACATTCTTGGGGAGTTACGATAGCAGAGTGAGCTGTGTGACACAAACATGTACAGGGTACTTCAGGAGCACCTGACGTTGTAGACTAAGTGACAGGCTGGGCCTTGCGGCCCCGGGTCATATGCTGGTGCTCTAGATTTATAACCAGCTGAGGGCCAAACTGCCACATTATTGTGTTTAAGAATGTCCAGCCAACAGCCTGGCATGAGGGCACACACCTGTCAGCCCAGCACTCAGGAGGATGAAGCAGGAGGATCACTATGAATTTGAGGCCAGCTGGGCTACATAGTGAGTTCAAGGCCAGCCTGAACTACAGTGAGAGCCTGTCGCTAATAAGTAAATAAGTGAATATAGTAATGAAAATAAATAAATAAAATTTAGGCCTGAGGATATAGCTCAGTGGTAGAACACTATGCCTAGTGTATGAAGCTCTGAGTTCAATCCAAGGTTCTGGAGACAAAAAAAAAAAACAAAAAAAAAAAAAAAAAAAAGCTAAAATTTGGAGTGCAAAAAACCAAGCCCCATTCTGTCTAGAAAACTTGGAAAACTGGCTACATGGAGACTACACTGGCATTAAGCATGGGCTTAGAGACCTTTCTTTCTTGTACAGCTTTGCGGCGTCTTTAACTTCTCTAAAAGCGTGATCCACTTGCCGGCCCAGCATGTCGTGCTTTAAGCGCTCTAAGAGGCTGACCATGTCGTCGAAGACGGAGCTCTCCATAGAGGCCAGCTGTCCCAGCTGCAGCTTGCTGAGCGTGTTGCTCTCCGCCAGCACCTCCAGGGCTGCCTGCTGAAGCTGCAGGAAAAACTGAGAGGAGAACGTGTTGCGGTGGTTACTAGCAGCCTGTAGCACCGTGAACTGCCATCCGCTTGCCCACTGTGGTGGACGGCTCAGTGGTTCCAGCAAATCTGTCATCACAAGTTCAGAACATTTCCGTTACCACCAACCTGGTGCCCCTAAAGCCCCCCAGGCTCAGTCCACATCCCCCTGTGCTCTCCCAGCGCTCTCCATTCCTGTCACCCACTAATTTATTCTCTGTCTCTGGATCTGCCCATCCTGGGCATTTCATGTGAGTGCAGTCAGATCCTGGCTTACATCAATCAGCGTATTTTTCACGAGGCAACATGGATTAATATGTGTTTCATTTCCCTTGAATGCCAAAAAGCACTCCACTTCATGGCCTGCCATAGTAACACCAAGGAAGACGCACTGTCCTTTTAAGATCACCGGTGAGCCATGTGGGCCTGGGGCTGCCACCGGCAGTGTCCACAGCCTGGCTAGAATGAGCGTCCGTGTGGCTGAGCCCATCTGTTCAGTTCCCCACCCCTCCCACTAATCAAGGCCAATTCGAATGTACTTTCTGTCACCTACACCTGAAGGTTCCCAGTTCTAAATGATGGCTGGATACTTGAGGTATTCTATAATCTGACAACAGCAGAGAATGAGAAATGAAAGTGAACTCTGCCTGGTTTTCTTTTTTTCCTAATTATGTGATAGAAGAACTTTTTAGAAAAAAAATTTATTTAGTTTTGCAGTACTGGGAATTGAACCAAGGGTCTTCAAACTAAGCTAAGTTTTTAGCCCTTTCTATTTTCCATTTGGAGACAGGGCCAAGCCCTGTCTTGCTGGATTTACAGGTGTGCATCACTATGCTTGATTTTTATTTTTCTGAAACAGGGTCTTGCTCTGTAATCCAGGTTGGCCTTGCACTCATTATATATAGTCCTGGGTGGTCTCAAAGCTGTCATCCTTCTGTATGAGTCACCCAAGCTCTGGATTAAAGGTATGCATCACCATGCCTGGCAACTTTAATGATTTGCATTTTAAGCATTCGCAAGTTGAAGATGTGAAGCTAATTAAAGGATTTTTGATGTTAAGACTGTATTAGCACCAAAGGAACCATGCTGGGACACAGATTCATTCCCAGTATTAGGGGAAGCCTGAAATTTGGTTAGTTTTCTTTGTTGATGGTGAACCCAGATAATTCAGCATCATCTTAAGTTTTCTAAGAACAGGGATAATAGATAATTCATTCATAGACAGTGATACCAAGTAATGCAGTTACTGATATTCCACAAATACTTTCAATGAAGCTAAAAGTCTGGCCCTGAATGAGTCTCTTATTAGATCATCTGGCATAAGAATGAAGAATGACATTTGTTTCATTCTACTGAAAAAGCTTAGCAGTGTGGGGGCTGAAAGAATAAAGTACTTACTGAAATTAGAAACACTTCACAAAATGAATGCAGACTAGCTGGCTTAACACTGATCATTATTCTATTAATTTTATGAAATGATTTTATTTTCCTTGCTCAGCAGAATGACAATACACATGTATTTCAGTTTTCAATGTTTTTATAGAATATTAAATCATTA